CACCGGTGTCCCCGTGTGAGGGGTTGGGGAATCCTCTGCTGGCGCTTGGTCACCGTCACCGTCACCGTGACACCGGTGTCCCTGTGTGAGGGGTTGGGGAATCCTCTGCTGGCGGCTGGTGACACCGCTGTCCCCAGAGCGAGAGCTGGGGATTGCTCCGCCATCGTTTGGTCACTGTCACCGTGTCACCAGTGTTTGGTCACTGTCACGGTGACACTGCTGTTCCCCTGAGAGCTGGGGATTGCTCCACCATCGTTCAGTCACTGTCATGGTGTCACCAGTGTTTGGTCACTGTCACGGTGACACCGCTGTCCCCAGAGTGAGAGCTGGGGATTGCTCTGCCATCAGTTGGTCACTGTCACCGTATCACCAGTGCTGTCACCGTGTCACCAGTGCTCGGTCACTGTCATGGTGACACTGCTGTCCCCTGGACTGAGCCATTTGGGAATTCTCTGCCATCCATCAGTCACTGTCACCATGTCACCAGTGTTTGGTCACTGTCACGGTGTCACTCCTGTCCCCAGAGTGAGAGCTGGGGATTGCTCCACAATCAGTTGGTCACTGTCACGGTGACACCGATGTTTGGTCACTGTCACGGTGACACCGCTGTCCCCAGAGTGAGAGCTGGGGATTGCTCTGCCATCGTTCAGTCTCTGTCACGGTGTCACCAGTGCTTGGTCACTGTCACGGTGACACTGCTGTCCCCACGTGAGGGTTGGGGAATCCTCTGCCATCATTTGGTCACTGTCATGATGACACCAGTGCTTGGTCATTGTCATGGTGACACCAGTGCTTGGTCAGTGTCACCGCTGTCCCCATGTGAGGGTTGGGGAATGCTCTGCCATCAGTTGGTCACTGTCACCGTGTCACCAGTGCTTGCTCAGTGTCACGGTGACACTGCTGTCCCCTGTCCTGTCCCCGTCCTGTCCCTGTCCCCACGGCTGAAGCCACCGTGTCCCCACAGATGGTGACGAGGAGCTGCTGCGGGGCCTCAAGGGGGCCCTGGGGGTGAAGAAGAAGAAAAGGGGCCCCCGGAAACAGAAGGAAAACAAACCCGGAAAACCCCGGAAACGGAAAAAACTGGTGGGTGCTCCTGGGCTCAGGGACAGGTGACAGGGTCTGGGGATGGGTGACAGGGTCTGGGGACAGTGGGTGGGGTCGAGGACAGGTGACAGGGTCTGGGGGTGGGTGACAGGGTCTGGGGACAATGGGTGGGGTCAAGGACAGGTGACAGGGTCTGGGGATGAGTGACAGGGTCTGGGGACAGGTGATGGTTTGGGGGGGCTGATGGGGGTCTCTGGGATCTCTGATGGGGTTCTGAGGGTGTCTGACAGGGTCCTGGTGTGACTGAGGGGGGATCTCAGTGCCAGGGACAGTTTTGGGGTGATTTTGGGGTGTTTTTGGGGTGCCCAGGTGAGCGAGGATGAGCTGGAGTCGGAGAGGGACGAGTACCCCCGGGAGGAGTACTGGGAGTGGTTCAGGGGTCTCAGGGTGACTGAGGGGGATGCTCTCAGGGTCACTGACCGTTTTGGGGTGTTTTTGGGGTGTTTTTTGGGGTGCCCAGGTGAGCGAGGATGAGCTGGATTCGCAGCGGGACGAGTACCCCCGCGAGGAGTACCGGGAGTGGTTCAGGGGGTCCTGGTGTGGTTCAGGGGTCTCAGGGTGACCAAGGGGGGCTCTCAGGATTACCGAGGGGGAAGCTCTCAGATTCACTGACCGTTTTGGGGTGGTTTTGGGCTGTTTTTGGGGTGCCCAGGTGAGCGAGGATGAGCTGGAGTCGGAGAGGGACGAGTACCCCCGCGAGGAGTACCGGGAGAAGTCGGAGAGCGGCGGCAGCGACTCGGGCGGGGCGGCGCGGAAGCGGCGGCGGAAGCACCGCGAGAAGAAGGAGAAGAAAACCAAGAGGCGGAAAAAGGCCGATGATGAGGGGGGACAGAAGGTCAAGGTACGGCCCGGGGGGCACCCCGGGGTGGGGGGCACTGGGGGATCCCCCGGTCCTGCCCTGTGTGGGGAACTGGGGGTCCTGGGGAGGGGGGGTCTCATGGGGGTCCTGATACTTTTGGAGGGGTTATGGCACTGTGTGGGGTTCTTATGAGGGTCCCAGCACCTGTGTGGGGTTCTGTGGGGGTTCTGTCTCTGTGTGGGGTTCTCCTGGGGGTCCCAGCACCTGTGTGGGGTTCTCCTGGGGGTCCTGATACTTGTGGAGGGGTTCTGTCACTTTGTGGGGTTCTCCTGGGGGTCCCAGCACCTGTGTGGGATCCTCATGGGGGTCCTGAGGGGTTCTATGACTGTGTGGGGTTCTCATGGGGGTCCCAGCACCTGTGTGGGGGTCTCATGGGGGTCCTGATACTTGTGGAGGGGTTATGGCACTGTGTGGGGTCCTCATGGGGGTCCCAACACCTCTTGGGGGTCCTGTCACTCTGTGGGGTTTTCATGGGGGTCCCAGCACCTTTTGGGGGTTCTGTCACTGTGTGGGGTCCTCATGGGGATCCCAGCACCTGTGGGGGGTTCTCATGGGGGTCCCAACACCTGTGGCGGGTTCTCATGGGGGTCCCAACACCTCTTGGGGGTTCTGTCACTGTGTGGGGTTCTCCTGGGGGTCCCAGCACCTGTGTGGGGCCCTCATGGGGGTCCCAACACCTGTGTGGGGTTCTGTGGGCGTTCTCTCACTCTGTGGGGTTTTCATGGGGGTCCCAGCACCTTTTGAAGGGGTTCTGTCACTGTGTGGGGTTCTCCTGGGGGTCCCAGCACCTGTGTGGGGCCCTCATGGGGGTCCCAGCACCTGTGTGGGGTTCTGTGGGGGTTCTCTCACTTTGTGGGGTTTTCATGGGGGTCCCAACACCTCTTGGGGGTTCTGTCACTTTGTGGGGTCCCAGGGTGTCCCATCACTGTGTGGGTCTCTGTGGTGGTCCCAAAACCCCTTGGGTGCCCATGGGGGGTGTCCTATCTCCCCTCTGCTCCTCGTGGGGGTCCCATCAGCCACGTGAGGTCCTTCAGGGGTCCTGACAGGTGACGTGTCTCCTTCTCCTCCTCCCTGCCCCTGCTCCTGGGGTTTCTCCCCACCCCGGTGTCCCCCGTGTCCCCCGGTGTCACCCGGTGTCACCCGGTGTCCCCGAGCAGGCCGTGGAGCAGAAATCCTCGGCGCAGCTGCTGGGGGCCTGGGGGCTGGAGGACGTGGACCACGTCTTCACCGAGGAGGATTATCACACCCTCACCAACTACAAGGCCTTCAGCCAGTTCATGAGGTGGGGCTGGGGGCACCCCGGGGGTCCTGGGGGCCCCTCTGGGTGTTTGGGGGGCACCCTGGGGGTCCCTCTGGGTGTCTGGGGGGCACCTCTGGGGTCCTGGGGGTCCCTCTGGGTGTCTGGGGACACCCCAGGGGTCCTGGGGTCCCTCTGGGTGTTTGGGGAGCACCCTGAGGGTCCCTCTGAGTGTTTGGGGGGCAACCTGGGGGTTTGGGGGGTACACTGAGGGTCCCTTTGCGTGTCTGGGGACACTTTAGGGACCTGGTGGGGGACACCTGATGGTCCTGAGTGACCCCAGGGCTGTCCTGGGATCCTGAGTGACCACTGAGTGACCCCAGGGCCACCCCGGGATCCCGAGTGACCCCAGGACTGTCCTGGGATCCCAAGTGACCCCAGGGATCCTGAATGACCCCAGGGCCACCCTGGGATCCCGAGTGACCCCTGGGCCATCCCAGGATCCTGAGTGACCACAGGGATCCTGAATGACCCCTGGGCCATCCCAGGATCCCGAGTGACCCCTGGGCCATCCCAGGATCCTGAGTGACCACAGGGATCCTGAATGACCCCAGGGCCACCCCGGGATCCCGAGTGACCCCAGGGCCATCCCAGGATCCTGAGTGACCCCTGGTCTGTCCTGGGATCCCGAGTGACCCCAGGGCCACCCTGGGATCCCGAGTGACCCCAGGGCCATCCCAGGATCCTGAGTGACCACAGGGATCCTGAATGACCCCTGGTCCATCCCAGGATCCTGAGTGACCCCTGGTCCATCCTGGGATCCCGAGTGACCCCAGGGCTGTCCTGGGATCTCAAGTGACCCCAGGGCCACCCCTGGATCCTGAGTGACCCCAGGGCACCCCGGGATCCCAAGTGACCCCAGGGCCATCCCAGGATCCTGAGTGACCCCAGGGCCACCCCAGGATCCCAAGTGACCCCAGGGCTGTCCTGGGATCCCAAGTGACCCCAGGGCCACCCCGGGATCCCAAGTGACCCCAGGGCTGTCCTGGGATCCCAAGTGACCCCAGGGCCACCCCGGGATCCCAAGTGACCCTGGGCCCCCCCAGGCCGCTCTGTGGCCATCAGGCCACCCCGGAAGGGCCAGAGCCCTGCCCTGCCCTCCCTGCCGACCCCCCCCCACCCCTCTGGACCCACCTGGGCGCTCGCTCCGCAGGCCCCTGATCGCCAAGAAGAACCCCAAGATCCCCATGTCCAAGATGATGACCATCCTGGGGGCCAAGTGGAGGGAGTTCAGCGCCAACAACCCCTTCAAGGGCTCGGCCGCCGCCGTGGCCGCCGCCGCCGCCGCCGCCGCCGCCGCCGTGGCCGAGCAGGTGTCGGCCGCCGTGGCCGCCGTGGCCCCCGAGGCGCCGCCCCCGCCCCTGCGCAAGGCCAAGACCAAGGAGGGCAAAGGTGGGGAGGGGTCCCCACCCCACCCTGGGCGGGGCTGGGGGTACCCCGCGGGTCTG